TGCTCAACCCTTGTCAAGTCACATTGAGGACTGGTTTCGTGGTGAGATTGCACAACACATAAATATGATTGAATTTATTATCTTTAAAAGAACAGAGAGTGGCACCATCTTTAGGAATTGCTTAACAAAAGCCTTTTGATATTCAGAATAAAAGTCATGGAAGCTCAGTGTCCTTAGAAAGGAAACAAAAAAGAAAGTTGGGAAAAGGTGAGAGTACAGAAACCTAACTGGGGAGCCAAGAGGAGTATTATGGAGTTCAAGGTTAACTGATGGGAATTCACAGCACATATGTGAGAGACCAATGTTTTGTTTTGGACTCTGGGGAAAGACTGGAAAAATTATATGTCTTAAAAGGAGTTTTTGAAGGTTGAAATGGGACATATTTAATTGGAAAAGTTAAATTTTTTTTTGTAGCTCCAGGAATAGCCTATAAAATATCTTTCTGGCTGGAATGGGTAATCCAACAAAGATAAAAAAAAATCCAGTACAAGGATAACTAGAAATTGAGCAGGTTAATAAACACAAGAATTTATATTCTCTATCTGATTGTAAATCTTTCTGGCTCCTCTTTCGAATTTAGCGGAATCTACTTTTTAGTTCTAAATAAGCCTCAGTGGAGAGGATGACCCCTAAATCTTTTCGTACAGAGTTTAAAAGAGAGCCTGGATAACTGGTAAGCTTTAAATATTTGCTAGGGTTAGCAACTATATGCTACAGTGGGAATCTCTAAACAAGTAATTTATTTGTTTAAGCAAAATTTATTATGTGCCTTCAATGCCCAAACAATGTTAGACTTTCTTTACTGTGAGATATGTGAAGGGTGCAATTCCAATCTTAAAGGCGTTTTAAGTCAAAATAAGTAAGGGGAAATCATTCAGCTAATAGTTGAAAGATAATATGAAATCATATGTAGTAAATGAAAAATATAAGGAAAAAGCAATCCATTTTGTAGAGATTTAATGGCTGGAAGAATTCTTGTAATAAAAAATTGTTGTGGGAAAATTTTATAGAATGTTAGATATAGTTCTTAATTAAAGAATTTAATTGTCATCAGTTGAGATAAAGCATAATCACATTTGAGATCACATCAGAAGGTGTACAAATATTCTGATGCAGAAATGATTAAATTATATATGGTGGAATCAAGCAACCATACTGGCTGGAGTAAAGAGTGACTAGAAAAAAATTGTTAGTTGAAACAAAAGACATTCTCATTGAAAAAAGCTAAGCATAGGCACAAGAATTGTTAAAAAATTGTAGGCAACATTACAAACTAAATATTTACTTGAGTTTAACACTGATGGTTGCAGTAGTGTTGATAATGGCATTGATGCTTGTGATGGTGATACTAATTTGGTTAGTGCCAAAAACAGAAGAGAAAGATGAGTATAAAGTAGAGGATAGTGAAGTCCAAGAAACTCTGAAAGATAGTTGAAACAAAAGGAAGAAAGCTGGTTATATGTATATATGTGAACCTGTAGTGCACATATTTGTGTATATTTAAATGAAGTACATGGTGAATTGTGGTAGGTCAGAAATTAGTGGGGTAGGATGCAGTGTGCTGAGTGAATGTGAGTATGGGTAGTGTCTGGTATGTTTGCATATCCCTGTCCATTATAAACCTTGACTTTCTTTTTTGTTGTTTTCTTCAGCATGAGTGACTCTGATATCCACACATAGAGCTAAAAAAAAAATTATACAAAGTTTATACAAAGTTTAGTATTCGAAGTCCTTAAGAAGTTGATCCCCTTATTACGGCCCTCCTTCAGAGGAGCTAACTCAATATCTCACCTAAAGGACATGCTTTGTAAAACACTCTTTGCTAAGTATACTATGACAAATGTAGGAGAATGTAGAAGACAATTACTGACAAGAATATGTAAATGGACAACTGAACAAGCATGGGTTTATGTATCAGTGGATGGGGATATGTACATTGTGATCTGAGATCTACTCTTCAAAGATATATTTACATTCATGAAAAGATAATTTTGTTTGTTTATATTTACATGGTCTTTATTTATTTACATTAGTTTCAAGTATACGATACATTGGTTAGACATCTATAAATTTCATAAAACGATTCCCCCAATTGCTCATTCCCTCCCCTGGCCCTCCACCTAACCAACATATTAATGCTAACTGCATTCTCTATGCCGTGCTCCTCATCGCCGTGGCCAATAGATTTTTATGGTCTTAATTCCACATAGTGCTTCTAATTTGGGCTGAGGACAAAAAATATATATATTTTTTTCTCTTATTTCAATCTTTCCTGTCTCTAGCCTTTTTCCTGAGAAGAAATCCTTCATTAACTCTGGTGTTCTTATTTTTGACCATATTTTTAAATAATATGATTTTACAAAAGACGTTGTGTTCTGATTTCATGCACCTCCAGATATACTATCCAAGTCAGTTATATCTCTTTTTCTTCCTATCCTCCATATACAAATACAAAAATACTCCATAGGTATAAATGTAGTTACATCATTATATTGTTTCTGCTTGCAATTTTAGGCAAAACACTTAAACCTGTATTCAACTAATCATATATAATCTCTCGTTAGTTGAAACAAAAGACTACTCTTCTTTGTAGGATAAAGACATAAGTTCTAACACTTCTTTCTCCAACTATACCAGTTTTTAGATATTCACTGAAAGGCAGTATTTTTTATTTCCTAATGTAAATTTATGTTATATTTCCAATTGTGTCAATAAATTGTTTAAATCTGATACTATTCAAGCACCAACCAAAAAGTAATGACAATATCCACTTTGATTTTATTCTTTCGTATTTTGAAAATTTAACATATCATGGATCTTGAGATAATCATGCTAAGAGAAATTTCATATTGAAAAAGTTGAAACCATATGATTTCACTCATATGTGGGATATAAAACTAAAAGCAACAAACAAATAAGACAAACAAACAAAAACTCAAAGATATAGACAATAGTTTAGTGTTACCAGATGGAAAGGGAGGAAAAGGGAGGTAGGTAAAGGTGAAGGGAGTCAAATATATGATGACAGAAAGAGATTTGATTTTGGATGGTGACCACACAGTACAATGTGCAGATAATATATTTGATTAATACACTTGAAGTCCATATAATTTTATTAACCAATGTCACCCCAATAAATTTAATAATTTTTTTTCAAAATTTAAAAAGAATATAACAAACAACCTAGAAATTAATTGTAACAATATATTGTATTGTATAATTTTTTAATGACTTTGAGTTTATGTGGGTTATTGAAATATTCTATGATTTATTTCTGCAGGTATAGATAACAGGAAAAATGCTCACATTTCCAGATGCCTGAATATTTATAGGTATGATGTTGATGTGGAGAAAATGTAGGAATATTTTTCAGAGTTTCAGCTATGATAATTAAAAATAAAAGAAGATGCAAACATAATTAAATAAATTAAGAAATAGAACGATTTCTGAGAATGAAATTTTTCCATGTGTAGGGATGAAAAGCAAAATTATGTCCTTAATTTTCATTGTCCCTTGATCAATAGCGTGTTTTAGGACAAAGGAACTCTAGTAGTTCTAATATTTTAATAGCGGTTATTTGTCTCCCTAACATCAAGTGGTTATTTAGATAATTTGGAAACATTCTTATGATAAATTCCTTGATGTAAAGATGCTTAGGATTAGTACTGTCTGGAAGAGTTACATGCATTATGTCCTCCTGTCTTAAACTCTGTTTTTCTTTCAATAGGAACATTTAGAAGCTCATCTGGGCTGGATCTCAAAAAATATATCTTTATGGAGTTTATAAACAGTAGCTGGTTCCAGCCACCCACTCTTCTTCTAACAGGCATTCC